ACATTTCAGTAGTGACACACATTAAACCACGGACACATTTCAGTAGTGACACACATTAAACCACGGACACATTTCAGTAGTGACACACATTAAACCACGGACACATTTCAGTAGTGACACACATTAAACCACGGACACATTTCAGTAGTGACACACATTAAACCACGGACACATTTCAGTAGTGACACACATTAAACCACGGACACATTTCAGTAGTGACACACATTAAACCACGGACACATTTCAGTAGTGACACACATTAAACCACGGACACATTTCAGTAGTGACACACATTAAACCACGGACACATTTCAGTAGTGACACACATTAAACCACGGACACATTTCAGTAGTGACACACATTAAACCACGGACACATTTCAGTAGTGACACACATTAAACCACGGACACATTTCAGTAGTGACACACATTAAACCACGGACACATTTCAGTAGTGACACACATTAAACCACGGACACATTTCAGTAGTGACACACATTAAACCACGGACACATTTCAGTAGTGACACACATTAAACCACGGACACATTTCAGTAGTGACACACATTAAACCACGGACACATTTCAGTAGTGACACACATTAAACCACGGACACATTTCAGTAGTGACACACATTAAACCACGGACACATTTCAGTAGTGACACACATTAAACCACGGACACATTTCAGTAGTGACACACATTAAACCACGGACACATTTCAGTAGTGACACACATTAAACCACGGACACATTTCAGTAGTGACACACATTAAACCACGGACACATTTCAGTAGTGACACACATTAAACCACGGACACATTTCAGTAGTGACACACATTAAACCACGGACACATTTCAGTAGTGACACATTAAACCACGGACACATTTCAGTAGTGACACACATTAAACCACGGACACATTTCAGTAGTGACACACATTAAACCACGGACACATTTCAGTAGTGACACACATTAAACCACGGACACATTTCAGTAGTGACACACATTAAACCACGGACACATTTCAGTAGTGACACACATTAAACCACGGACACATTTCAGTAGTGACACACATTAAACCACGGACACATTTCAGTAGTGACACACATTAAACCACGGACACATTTCAGTAGTGACACACATTAAACCACGGACACATTTCAGTAGTGACACACATTAAACCACGGACACATTTCAGTAGTGACACACATTAAACCACGGACACATTTCAGTAGTGACACACATTAAACCACGGACACATTTCAGTAGTGACACACATTAAACCACGGACACACATCAGTAGTGACACACATTAAACCACGGACACATTTCAGTAGTGACACACATTAAACCACGGACACATTTCAGTAGTGACACACATTAAACCACGGACACATTTCAGTAGTGACACACATTAAACCACGGACACATTTCAGTAGTGACACACATTAAACCACGGACACATTTCAGTAGTGACACACATTAAACCACGGACACATTTCAGTAGTGACACACATTAAACCACGGACACATTTCAGTAGTGACACACATTAAACCACGGACACATTTCAGTAGTGACACACATTAAACCACGGACACATTTCAGTAGTGACACACATTAAACCACGGACACATTTCAGTAGTGACACACATTAAACCACGGACACATTTCAGTAGTGACACACATTAAACCACGGACACATTTCAGTAGTGACACACATTAAACCACGGACACATTTCAGTAGTGACACACATTAAACCACGGACACATTTCAGTAGTGACACACATTAAACCACGGACACATTTCAGTAGTGACACACATTAAACCACGGACACATTTCAGCAGTGACACACATTAAACCATGGACACATTTCAGTAGTGACACACATTAAACCACGGACACATTTCAGTAGTGACACACATTAAACCACGGACACATTTCAGTAGTGACACACATTAAACCACGGACACATTTCAGTAGTGACACACATTAAACCACGGACACATTTCAGTAGTGACACACATTAAACCACAGACACATTTCAGTAGTGACACACATTAAACCACGGACACATTTCTGTAGTAACACATTAAACCACGGACACATTTCAGTAGTGACACACATTAAACCACGGACACATTTCAGTAGTGACACACATTAAACCACGGACACATTTCAGTAGTGACACACATTAAACCACGGACACATTTCAGTAGTGACACACATTAAACCACGGACACATTTCAGTAGTGACACATTAAACCACAAACATATTTCAGTAGTGACACACATTAAACCACGGACACATTTCAGTAGTGACACACATTAAACCACGGACACATTTCAGTAGTGACACACATTAAACCACGGACACATTTCAGTAGTAACACATTAAACCACGGACACATTTCAGTAGTGACACACATTAAACCACGGACACATTTCAGTAGTAACACATTAAACCACGGACACATTTCAGTAGTGACACACATTAAACCACGGACACATTTCAGTAGTGACACACATTAAACCACGGACACATTTCAGTAGTGACACACATTAAACCACGGACACATTTCAGTAGTGACACACATTAAACCACGGACACATTTCAGTAGTGACACATTAAACCACAAACATATTTCAGTATTGACACACATTAAACCACGGACACATTTCAGTAGTGACACACATTAAACCACGGACACATTTCAGTAGTAACACATTAAACCACGGACACATTTCAGTAGTGACACACATTAAACCACGGACACATTTCAGTAGTAACACACATTAAACCACGGACACATTTCAGTAGTGACACACATTAAACCACGGACACATTTCAGTAGTGACACACATTAAACCACGGACACATTTCAGTAGTGACACACATTAAACCATGGACACATTTCAGTAGTGACACACATTAAACCATGGACACATTTCAGTAATAACTTTTTTTTAGAATGGGTACCTTTTTCAGTTTCAAACAATTTTATTGACATACATTAACATATATGACAAAGGGATTAGACAACAGGCTGGACCTGGTACAGGACACCACACATCAACATACAAAATAGTCATTCGATAAGAATGATGATGATGATGATGATGATGATGATGATGATGATGATGATGCAATATCACAAAAGGAAGCAACTCCTATATACCTGAATTTTATTTTCTTTAGCTATTTTATTTGAACTGAAGACTTTATTGATGTACAAATTTGAAGTTGATGTATACATAAACTTATTTATACTTTACATCTTAAAGAAGGTTTCCATACCGATAAATAAATAAACGTATGATTTGATATTTTATGCACACTCCGTCGTAATGGTTATAATGATAATATCATTTACTGTTGTTGAATAAAACAGATAAAAATAAATAATGGAAAGAAAAATTATATTATCATTTTCATTGCAACTCTGACAACCTTTGAGAATAACATCTATGGATAGATGGATATGAAATCCATGCGCAATATTTTATAATGTCACTCGAACATCTGGATGTACAGGATCCAGACTGCTAAATGGTATTGATGGAGGTCATTATCAAAATTGCTACAGCAATTTCTTAATTAGCATAATATGACATATTAAGTTATCTTTTCCAGTAAAATTTAAATAAAAAAAATTGATTGGAGATATGAATTTTCGAATTGAGAAAATGAGCGAACATTTTGTTCGTCTTTAGCAATAACATAGATGACAAACAGGCCATTATTCCGCTAGGAATGGAACCCGGGACCACTGGCTTACTAGTCTGACGCTCAACCAATCGAGCTTAAGTGAAGTCCTCTCTAGCCGAATGGTATATTGCGGCTAGTATTTTACCAGGGTTACAGAAAGATACTATTAAGAGAGGATACTTAGCTGGATCATGCAAATGTGACTTATTTTTTTCTTTCAGATAATTGGTGTTTTATCATATATAATTCTTTACATATTGCCCGGGTAATTTGACTTGAGTTAGGACGGACGCTTACTGTCACTTGGCCGTGGATATGTTGTTGTTTCTACACTGAGGAATTTCTAGAACGTGTTACGACGTCGGAAGTTGTCTCTTTTCCTGTCGCTACATGCGGTATTTTGGGTCCTCATTTTCTATCAGTATTTCATGCCTGTTTGTGTTTTATGATCCTAATACTTTCTTTGTGCTTCGACATTGCTGTTGTAAATTCCTATGTAAGATTTTTTTTCAAGTAAATTGTTAAAACTGCTCCTTTTTGTCGCCTTTCATGCATGGTTTCCTGTTCTGAATTCGTCCAGGTATACATGCTGTTGTCATCGAGACTGCCACCATTGTCGGTGTGTTCGTACGCCATCGGCTTTTAAAAGTAATTTGTCCAAAATATCAAATCTTATGAACGGAAACTTGTGCGGGACATGAGGTCAGATGATTGCGGAGAATATTGCGATGTAATGAAGCGTTATTAACTGTTATTGTACTGTACATCTTCCCGCCTGTAAGTGGAGTATCATCTTAATTACTTACTTACGAGTTTATTTTCACGTGACATGACGAAATTTGACGCAATGGACAATCAGGATACCTTAGTAAAGATATGATATCGATTATTCAAATTAACTGTTATTTTCCAAGTCCTAGTTTTTCTTTTTAATTTATCAATTATTCTTTCTTTTCTAGTAATTGTTCCTGATTTCTATCTCCGTATATATAAGATAATATTAAGATGTTACGATGACGGTGTCTAGAGTTTCCGGTCTAACCCATCAGTAGTTCTGTGTAGGTATTATGACCAATGGAACTTTAAAGCCTAATATGTGTCCCTATGACGATATCGAAAGACCCAAAAACGTTTTTAATACAAAAAAAACGTTTTACGAAGTAGACTTTTTTTAAAAAAGAAAAAAAAGTAGAAACTCAGTTCATGGAACCGCTATCGATCACTGGTCTTGTTCTAGCCTGTACAATGGACATCACAAAACATCGATTTCATTTTTTAAAAAAAACTCAGATTCAAACTTTTAATCCTATTGTCATTTTCATATCCCGCACTTTTTCTTGCAGTTCCTGTTGACGTTTTTCAAGAGTGGCAATCTTGTCTTCAAGTTCAAATTCCTTACACACTTGCATTAGCCTGTCGACCTCTCTGCTAACGTAATTACTTCGGAGCGAGAACATTACCATGTCTTGTTCTGCTGCGTGACATTCTATGGCTACGATATAGGAGTTAAATAAAATGTCGGAGGTGGGATGTTCTAAAATCAGCTCAGTGCCTAATCTGAACACTTTGTCCAACCTTTTCAGAACTGTGCCATACCTCTTTGTTTTAATTTGTAGTAAAGCTATTTCTAAATGACACATACACTCGTCTATCAGCGAAGGTGCATGTCTTTTCATTATTTTGAGAGATGTCTTATATTGTTTTATTGCCTCTTCATCTTTTCCTAAATTTCTAAATATTCTCCCCTGTGTAGTATGGCAATGACATCGGATTTCTAAGTATAAATTCGGCGTCTTGTTCAAGATGTAAAATGCCTCCGTGATCACTCTCTGTGCTTCGCTGTGCTTACCAAATTCCGTTAAAGACCAAGCTACATTTTTCTGTGATATCGCGATGGATTTCGGCTCAGCTTTGGTGGCTTGTTCTTGAATCAGCGCTCTTTGAAAGCAATGAAGAGCTTCTTCTTCACGGCCTAATTTTCTGTAAGCAATTCCCAAATTGTTGATACAAGAAACAACATACGGATGGTGTTCTGTTTTATAGTGAGCAATTCTTCTTCTCAAAGCTTCCTGGTTTAGTTTGATCCCTTCTTTTATGTTACCTGTATTTAAACACAATAAGTATCACATGTAGTGGGACTGTCACATCAATAACATACATCAAAAACATGACATCCGTATCATATCTGTGATAATGTGAGTTTTCCTGTTCACCATTGTACGATTATGTTAAATACCACTTATATATACCTACATTGTGTAGTTTTGTATTTTTCTAACATTGTGTAGTTTTGTATTTTTCTAACATTGTGTAACTTTGTATTTTTCTAACATTGTGAAGATTTGTATTTTTCTAACATTGTGTAACTTTGTATTTTTCTAACATTGTGTAACTTTGTATTTTTCTAACATTGTGTAGTTTTGTATTCTTCTAACATTGTGTAGTTTTGTATTTTTCTAACATTGTGGGACACCGTTTAGCACTGTAATACAATGTAACACTTGTTAAGCCCTATCTGCCACTAAATATTCAGTAACATTGTGTAATGTCATTTATTTTCGAAATATGCTTAACTTCAAGTGATATCATTTACAAATAAAACACTGTTCAAACATCTGATTTATTTTCGTTGAATTTGTGGATAATTTAAATCCACGAATTTATACGTCAGTAAAAAGATGAACAGATAAAAGTTTAAATGAATTACAGTACAAGCAGTGATATTAGCAATTTTACCCCCGCAAAAAGACATGATTTTTATTAAAATTCACAGCAATATTGAACTATCCTGTAGCTTTGTGTAATATGATTTCACTAGTGAAATAATACCTGACTTTTGTAATACAATTTACCTGAAGTTATTCTGTTACCTTTTGTAAATTATCTTACTCTGGAACATTCTGTATCTTCTGTGCAATTTACGCAAATTATTGTGTAATTTCAATTACTTAATTTTATATACGTATTTTATGCATAAAAGAACATGATGTATGATGTTCTGTATATGTCATAATTTGATACTAGATGCAAGTTCTGAAACCAGATTAAACGTAGATGAAAGTATTAGCTGCTAATAAATCGAAGGGTAGTTCACATGTATGTGCTATACTTACCAGAGGTGACATGGAAGATAGACAAACTTTGTATTGTTGACATGGCAAGTTCTTCATAATACATTTTAAGATCTTGTTCCACCTGCAAAGCTTTGTAGAGATATCTGAAACAGAATATAAAGACTGTCTTTACTTTGTACTACAGACTCCGGTGTCTTCAGAGTTTTCCTTAACTCATGAATATAGAAGGACCTATCTCGACGTAGAGTTATATGCTAAAGCCATGATATAGCCGTACTAAAGCCAAGGAAATCCACCTACATATATAATTGTTACACAATATCAAATAATTGAAACCTAAAAGGCAACCAAAAAAAATCAAAAGTGATCGAAAAAACAAATGTCAGAATTTGGAAAGGGAGGCACACGAGGTCGATCAATCGGTAAAATTTTGTAATTTTCACATATCTGACAAAGGGTGTAGATGATAAAAGTCTAGAATGGTTAGATTGAAATCTATCCCTAAGCTGATGAGGATTTGTCCGGAGAAGTTGTATCGAAGAGACGGACATTTTTATTCATGTTTACTCATTCCTTGAAGGACAGGGATACTGATTGGGTTGATGTACAGATATTTAGATAGCCTTGGTTTCCCTCTGTATTTTGAATTTCTAGACTCTTGCATGACCCCAGACACCTAAAAAGTCTGAAAGTTTGACAGTGTTACATTATCAGCGGTTAATATTTCATTCACTGCACTAAATTAAAAGTCTCTATCTTTTATACAACTGTGTGAGCTAAATCACTACTACCTCTCGGCAACTATATTCAAGCTAATGTTAAAGCTTAAATAAATTAATTTATTTTAATTAATTATTTCTTTTAATTAAAAGTCTCTATCTTTTAGACAACTATGTGAACTAAATCACTACTACCTCTCGGCAACTATATTCAAGCTAATGTTAAAGCTTAAATAAATTAATTTATTTTAATTAATTATTTCTTTTAATTAAAAGTCTCTATCTTTTAGACAACTATGTGAACTAAATCACTACTACCTCTCGGCAACTATATTCAAGCTAATGTTAAAGCTTAAATAAATTAATTTATTTTAATTAATTATTTCTTTTAATTAAAAGTCTCTATCTTTTAGACAACTATGTGAACTAAATCACTACTACCTCTCGGCAACTATATTCAAGCTAATGTTAAAGCTTAAATAAATTAATTTATTTTAATTAATTATTTCTTTTAATTAAAAGTCTCTATCTTTTAGACAACTATGTGAACTAAATCACTACTACCTCTCGGCAATTATATTCAGCTGACCTTAAAGCTTCTTGACATCGACCTTGACACCCGAGGTTCCATCCCATTCTCTGATAGGCCAAGGCCGTTGGTAAGCGGAGGTCACGTGTAGAACCTTTGACCGAGTTCATCTCAAGAAATTGTACAGCCATCATATACTTGTTTTCGCCGGTTTTCAAATCCCCCTACCGAAATAATCACATTTTCATTTCAGAATATTTTTATCGGCATCATAAAGACAAAAGAAATTGGGCAACATGTACAGCCTATGAAAGCTCTCTCCCTACCTGAACATAGACAAGTAGAGACACAACAATCAATGATCTGTAAGTTATCAAATTATATCAAATAACCCTCAGACATAAACATTATAATCAATAATGTAATTTCAATTAATAGATCAATAAAAATGAAAACTGTAACACTCATAATTGTTTCCAGAATAAGTCCAAATGTCCCTTTAGATAGAAGACTTAAACAGTCCATATCATCATGAGGTTGACAAGCAGATGGAATCCTCAGACAAAAAAACCATTCGACTGAAACTTGGATATCTCGTATGTTTGTTTTTAACATTAAAACATTGTATATTACAAATTCTTTCAAAAAAGGTATCAACCTTCCACACTAAGTGTACCTGGACATTGGTGATATCAACCTCCCACACTAAGTGACATTGGTGATATCAACCTCCCACACTAAGTGTACCTGGACATTAGTGATATCAACCTCCCACACTAAGTGCACCTGAACATTGGTGATATCAACCTCCCACAGTAATTGCACATGGACATTGGTGATATCAACCTCCCACACTAAGTGTACCTGGACATTGGTGATATCAACCTCCCACACTAAGTGTACCTGGACATTGGTGATATCAACCTCCCACACTAAGTGTACCTGGACATTGGTGAGAGCACTTCCGTATTGAATCTGGATACGCGCTTCATCCACATAGTTTTTGTTGTCATGACACATTCGTAACAGCTCCGTGTAGAACTTGAAATCATACTCTGGGAAAATGATTAAGAACCGTCAAGACGCCATTGTTACGTTAATGTTTGTTTACCAGAGCGTATTGATTTTTCGAGCAACGTTGTGACGGTACGCCTTTTTTCGTCACTATTTTGGAAAACTATTATAATATTGGAAGTTTAAGTAAGAAGCCACGTCTTTTGTCGTAAAATGGTTAGTATTACAGTGATTTCATGACAATAACTTCCAATCGGATTACAACATTTACTGTAAAAAAGCAACCGTTACGGTTAGTGGTATTAAAATCTCGCGCAGCATCTTTCGACCCACCATTTGTTCTTTAACGACCAAGACATCGAATATCAATCACATTACCAATTATGAAGCTCTGAATGACGTGTGTCGCCCTGAGGGCCACTTCAATATAAAGACTGTAGGTGTCCTCAGTGGTGTAGATGACGTCAGTGAGGAGTTTCTGAAAGTTCTGACGTTCTAGATTGTACTGACAAAGTCCATCCAGGTACTCCGAAGAGTCTACCTTCTCACTGATTCCGATTATCAGACTAGCGAATATCTGACAAAATCGTTTCCTTGTTTCTGAAATAAAAAAAAATAATAGTCACTGGTTGCAGTATGTGATAAATATGTTAAGAAATCGGATGTAAGTAAGGCCATTGTATATTCTGTTAGTCCTTCCTGCTGTACTGCGGATATAGAACAACACTAGATTTAACATGATTACCTGATATATTCTTTACCTCCAGATACATTGCTGCGCAATCTCGCAATATCCTGTGCACGTCAAATCGATCTGTACTTTTGTTGTAATACATGATGTTTCGTCTCATTATTGGTCGTATCGTGGTCGTGTGGGTTTCTTTGTTGCATGCCTTTCCTATCAAATTCAACAACAACAAAAAAGTTGATCTCCAAAAAGTGAACCCAGATTCAATAGCGAAATTGTCTGAACTAATCTGAACAATTGACAGGATATTGGAATATTAAAAAAAAATTTTGGGGCTTCTAAACTGGACAAATTAAAAACAATGGCGTAATGATTTGAAAATTGGATAAACATACATTTAAAGTTACAGTAAAACAATGTATAGAAAAAATGGTTCGAACAGACATAAGTTAAGTTTCTTTTAGCATGACTGTTAACAATATAACATTTCTGCTGTGAAATATTTTCTGTAGAAAAATAATCATTTCCTGCTCCTACTGCCAACAAATAAAATGCTGCTATAAATATTTACTACCCAAATGTGCGTCGGTTATAATATCTGATTAAACAAATAAATTGTCAAAGAAATGGAACATTTCTCAATGAGATTACTTAAACGACCGTATAACTTCCCATAGTTTTCTTTTGAAACTTTGTGTTACTAGTTTGTCAAAAACTCTTTGGAGTTCTTTAAAAACACATCAAATTAATTCAACTTCTTTAATAACTAGTATCACAATAAGACTATTTAGAATAAAGGAAATTAACCAAGCATTTCAAAGCCAAAACCAGCATACATCATAGATGATAGAAATCCCTAAGTTCCAACTACAAAGGTGCCTCAATCAGTAGTACCGGGCTTGTCAAACGATGTGGTTGCACAAAGGCAAACTTTGTTTATGAATTGAAAAGCGACTTAATGGAACACATCAAAATGGTAGTCAAGTTTCACTTCACATTATTATAAACTGGTATCACACAGGTAGGTGTATTGTGTGGTTGTCTGCAGGTAATTTATGTAGCTGTGTACATAACTAATAATATATTTACTATTTCTCTGGTGTTATACATGTGTAAATATTGATTGGGAGTGATCAGTGTTAAAATGTTGAGATAAAAATAATCAACGTATAAAAGTTATAAATATACTAGATGAAAACTTGTTTTTAATAAAGATAGGTTAAAAATGTTTATGCGTAGCATACATTTCTACTGTTTAGACACTTGTTTGGTGTTGATTAAAACCGTCTGCAGTTTACAAATACCATAGCTATCACTAAGGGTATGTCGTGTCTACTGTGTAAATGTCACAAGATAGGAAACTTCCCTTAAGATATGACTTCTGCTACGGTAAATAGATTTTACAGTATTTCTATGTGTCTACGTGGGGTGTGGGATGATATGAAGATATGGTTGAAGTTCACACCAAACTGTTTATGTTATTCTGTTAGTTCTCCAGACTTTGAGTTGCGATAGATAGAGTTATAGTTTGAACCAGCAATGAATTATTCATGGTCGCGTTCAAACACTTGAAGTTTTTATAAATACATTTTCATAATGGACTTTGATAGGGGTACTTTTATATATGTAACGCATTCATTTCTATAACGATTGCATTTTGTTTTCAAAAAACTTTCTAACATCCGAGTAAATATTGTTTCCCTTGAAACAATGCCTGTAATTTCTGTTTGTATCGAGAGATGTCTTGGTGTATTTCTAATCAACACCACGCTGTTATATTTGTATTTATAGGTATGCAAGCAATTGACGTTTCAAACTGAACTTACCAATCATGGCGCTCGCCTGAGAGTCCGTGAATGATCCGGGTATATATATTATGTTAGCTAGGTCCTGACGCAGCGGTACGGACAGTCGCTGAAGGAAGTCACCATAGACAACAGCTATAACAATCAACAGGCCACTGTTACTACTCGTCCATGTTGGAAACTTTGTTTACGTCATGAAGATTATCGGATGTGGAAATAAACATAATTAATGAATGGTTAACAAGGACCGTGTTATCCCACAGCACTTTTTATCAACTTTTTTCAATATTGAGGAAATTCTTTAATTTGCCTTTAGTTTGATGTCTTACGCCTGACACCTATTAATTGCCATACAGTTAAATCAGTGATGAGGTTATCACTGTACCGGAGACAGTCAAATATAAAAGTAATAGGACCTAATTTGGACGTTATAGAATAATTCCTTTGATAGCACTAAGATAGCAGCTACAATCAGCTGTTTAAAGGATACCGTAATAGTGATCATTTGGAAATCTAACTGTTACATTTACGGTGATGATAAGGGATATTCTTATAGTAAAAATACAATAATATGTGGGAATATTTTCACCATAAAAGTTGAATACAATCTGACGTGGGAACATTTTCATAATAGAAGTTGAATACAATCATGTGGGAACATTTTTATAACAAAAGTTGAATACAATCTGACGTGGGAACATTTACATTATAAAAGTTGAATACAATCTGACGTGGGAACATTTTCATAATAAAAGTTGAATACAAAGATGTGGGAACATTTTCATAATAAAAGTTGAATACAATGATGTGGGAACATTTTCATAATAAAAGTTGAATACAATGTGACGTGGGAACATTTTTACAAAAAAGATGAATACAGTCTGACGTCAATCTGGTAGAATTTACAGATGTTAAAGAATTTACCCACCCATATCCAACAATACATTACCGATCCTTTCCTTTCGATGGTACATTGATGAACTCAGAATTTCTAAACGACTTAAACGAAGAAGATGAACCATGTCGTCGATAGAAAATAATGTTTCTTCGTCCTCAAGGATTGACGACGTCATCAACAGAGCAAGCGGTAGACCTTCACAGAGTTCAATAATTGTCGCCATGTTGGATCCAAAGTTAACAGATGGTGCATAACTCGTGAGAAGCTGAGATGAACTTTCGTCATCTAAGGGTTTCAGATGAAGGGGAAATAAGGAGATCATGCTGTTTACTTCAAAGGTTATTTCAGTTGTTGATGTTATAAAGACCTTGATGTTCCTGTTGGTAGCCGTTAGCGCCTGACATAGCTGACAGAATTCCTTTGCTAGTTCCTCTGTCTCTATCACGTCTTCAGCATTATCTAAAACAATATTTGTAGGTTTTACCATGCCTTCATTGACAATTCTCTGAATACATGTCAACCAGTCCTCAGTAAGAATGTCTGGTTTTCCTGGAAAGCCTTTAACCGAAATACTATCTTGCATTAGCCGTTCAATTAAGGACATATACACAGGTCGCATACTCTTCATGTTTCTCATGTCTATTCTAATGCTGCTCCATGAGATTTGATGTAGGAAAGTCTCCACAAGCCGAGATTTGCCAACAGAACGCAATCCATATATAGCAAATACATTTTTTGAGTTGAACTCTTTTTGCAATTCCTCCAGTTCGTTTACCCTACCAATTAACTCCATGTTGGTACGTTTATGGTAACATGCTTAGACAGTGACGTATAAGCTATTTGTGTCGTATATAAATAACATATCCTTTTAGTTAAAATCATACGTGTGACGAGTACAGCATATCCACTAGTTAATTGTTCTCGTGCAATTAACTAACTTCCCACTCAGACGTTCGACTCATATACCTATCCATATAACAGTTACTACTTCATGGTCCGTTTTGTCCTGTATTATTTCGATAGCATAAACCTGAAGAAATTCACAAATTAATTGACCAATGGGTTTGGTGTAAAATGCGACACAACATATCGTAATGCCGAAGATGAATTAGAGCTGTAAATGAAACCAGTACTTGTGAGCCTCTTTAGTATACGGATAGTAAGATCGTGTGTGACGTTACTCAGCTTGTGACTAATGTTGTCCTTGTATTATTTGTTATACTTTGAGGAAGAAACTTATTTGATAATACATTAAATTTTTTACATAATTCAACAAGTTATAGTTAAACACAATTTTAAGCTCAACAGTCTGACAATAATTATTTCCGTATTCTATTCCTAGTAAGTTCTTTTTTTTACGAAAGTAAAGAAATCGAATACCTGAATAGTGTTTTTGACAAGTCCGTGCTTTCTGTTTTTGTTTTTATATAGTATTATATTTCATTCTTGTGGTTGCTATTACAATTTTCGTTTATAATGAGTTCTGATGTGAGAAAGTGATTTCATGTCTGCAGCATATTTTGTAGATTTTCACGACGAAATTCGATTTTTGTAATATTATTTATGTTCTAACTTCATTTCTAAGTATATTTAATTAAGAATTAAGTAATCCGATGATAAAAAACAAATACAGCCACTTCGAAGTCGATAATTATTTTTTTTTTCAATCCAACAAAATAGGCGAAATCTTGAGTTATTGGATAAGTAGAAATGCCTAATTCAAGAAGAGACAGAGACAGCGGTCTTTTTCACGGGGATTTTTTTTTTTTTTTTTTTTTTTTGTCTTTTTGATGACTTTAAAATATGTTAAATATTTAAAATTCTCAATCTATTGAATCAGGTATGGTAACCTTTTTTTCTTATGTGTGCTAATGACACATTTGTACTTGTTCATTCAAATGGGAAAGGTACACAAACACTGGTTGAAATTATCAAATAAATAAAAATCACGAAATTGAGTATGTACTTGAGTAAGTATGAGACTAATGCACCACCCAATCTAGAGTTTGAGGTCTCTTTTTATTACTGTGCATATTCCTCGTTCGCCTCTCGGTTTCATACCTACGTCTTTTAGCAATACTTTCATGGTCTAGAAGGACGAAACAGCTGTATGATGTAGCATTACTTACGTGGTCTAGAAGGACGAAACAGCTGTATATGTAGCATTACTGACGTGGTCTAGAAGGACGAAACAGCTGTATATGTAGCATTACTTACGTGGTCTACAAGGACGAAACAGCTGTATATGTAGATTTACTGACGTGGTCTACAAGGACGAAACAGCTGTATATGTAGCATTACTGACGTGGTCTACAAGGACGAAAACGCTGTATGATGTAGCATTACTGACGTGGTCTACAAGGACGAAACAGCTGTATATGTAGCATTACTGACGTGTTCTACAAGGACGAAAACGCTGTATGATGTAGCATTACTTACGTGGTCTAGAAGGACGAAACAGCTGTATGATGTAGCATTACTTACGTGGTCTACAAGGACGAAACAGCTGTATGATGTAGCATTACTGACGTGGTCTACAAGGACGAAACAGCTGTATATGTAGCATTACTTACGTGGTCTACAAGGACGAAACAGCTGTATATGAGCATGTAGCATTACTTACTTACGTGGTCTACAAGGACGAAACAGCTGTATGATGTAGCATTACTTACGTGGTCTAAAAGGACGAAACAGCTGTATGATGTAGCATTACTTACGTGGTCTACAAGGACGAAACAGCTGTATGATGTAGCATTACTGACGTGGTCTACAAGGACGAAACAGCTGTATATGTAGCATTACTTACGTGGTCTACAAGGACGAAACAGCTGTATATGTAGCATTACTGACGTGGTCTAGAAGGACGAAACAGCTGTATGATGTAGCATTACTTACGTGGTCTACAAGGACGAAACAGCTGTATGATGTAGCATTACTGACGTGGTCTACAAGGACGAAACAGCTGTATATGTAGCATTACTTACGTGGTCTACAAGGACGAAACAGCTGTATATGTAGCATTACTGACGTGGTCTACAAGGACGAAACAGCTGTATGATGTAGCATTACTGACGTGGTCTACAAGGACGAAACAGCTGTATGATGTAGCATTACTTACGTGGTCTACAAGGACGAAACAGCTGTATGATGTAGCATTACTTACGTGGTCTGAAAGGACGAAACAGCTGTATGATGTAGCATTACTTACGTGGTCTACAAGGACGAAACAGCTGTATGTTGCAGACTATTTCATTATATACTTTTTGTATCAGAAGGTGTTATTCACTGGTATATGTTTTGTACAATTTTTGAGACTGCATGTGCTAGACACTGGCAGTGGACTTTAAGTTCCCGATGTTTGCCGTTACATGCACGCCGCTGTTAATTGATTATCACCTTGCACGGCCAATAGCAGAGGGGAAATAGTTTTCTGTTGGTACGTCCGTAAGTATGTTCACTTTTTTCATCTTCATTTCTCAGCAAATTTTGATCAAAGTGCACATATCGGTAAAGTATTTCTGTATGCCAGGGTCAACTTATAGGTCACTGTTATTTATATAAATCTTTATCACCGCTCTAACAACTTCATTTCTCAACCGATTTTGATCGAACTTCACATATTGGTCAAGTATCACAACACCTTGAACAAGTTTATATTTCAGAGTGCCAGGGTCGACGTTAAGGTCATCGTTACTATTTATAGCTTACATGTTAGCTGATGATATATGGACACAATTATATCGGTTATCACAGAAGTTGCTAGTTTGTGATCTAACTAGACATTGATGGGATGTGTTCTTTAACAAACTTCAATATTAATGGAAGCTAGGGGATGTGATCGTTTGCCATGTCTTGTTCAAATAGTTGCACAGTTCAGGATACACTACTTGGAAGTCTTCTATAACTGCCAGATAAATAAATATTGTGAAATTGATTGCATTGTGGCATGAATGCACCTCATCATGTACATGTTGGTTTTTTCTCGGTCGCTTCCAAGATTTCAGCATTTAGGTCCTTAACATCACTGACGAGACCTACAAAGACGAAACCGCTGTATGATAGAGTTTAATTCATTATTTGACTCTACTGTACCTAACTCTAAATTTGCAATAAAATGTACACTTTCCATGCATATATTATATTCATCTCTCCAATATATGGGTCAATATATATATATAGTATAATTTCAAGTTCAGGTTTTGATATATCAACTCGCATCTACAATAGACCGGGGCGTACCTAGCCCAGCAGAAATGTGTAAGTCCAGACGAAGGGTCTGAGTTTGATGATTTCAAAGATGTTTTGAATCGTTTTCTGAGACAGTTTTTTTTTATTTATTTAACAACAAACTTCAACCCCTGATATTTATTTTCAACTTTAGTTTTGTAATTTTGTCCGACATACTCTATGTACGGATTTTTTCATGTGTAAGCCCGGGCTTTTTCTTTCTATGGACTTCTTATCAAAGTATAGACTCGTATCTATATAAGCTGCTGCATGTGTGAACTTACCAAGACATTGTTTTAGAGATAATGGGACAAAATCAACACAAAAGTTTATTGTATTTGGAAATACTAATATGTAATTATATCAACAAAACAGGGGTTTTGCATCATCCACATTTGGAAGAAACTTAAAGTTTACCATATATTTTAAAGAACACTATCGACCAGTTTTACAAGTAACATACGAATGAGATTGTCAGTAAGTAATTACTTCAGTTTCATAAAGAAAACGAGAGATATAATCGCACCGTCAGATCACATAGGATACATACGTTATAATGTGTTTTATCATACAGAGGAGGAGTCTCATTTACTTCTATGTAATAGATTCTCTTGAAGTATGATATTGTGATATATTGTGATTGTGAATTAAATGATCTCAGACAATTCTTATGTCAAAAGCTTGAAGTTGTTATCTATATCAATGTCCTTTCAGTCTCTTAACACGAAATATTCAATTTACAAATGTGTTTCCTGGATAATTGTTATCTATGTGTTAAGTCTGGGTGTTTGACTGTTACAATATGAATGGCAAAGTGAAAATTAATCTATCATCGGTATATTTGATTGTGTAACCGAGTAAACAAGGTTGTATGATTTTACACCCATGTTCGTCTGCATACAAGACAGAAACTAAGATGTCTGGATTTTCTTAGATACGGTGATCGGAAGATATTGTCACATACTATGGAAAACATACCTTGGGACACATACCTTGGAACACATACCTTGGGACACATACCTTGGAACACAGACCTTGGAACACATACCTTGGGACATATAACTTGGAATTAAATATCCAATGTCACCAGGGCAACTTCATCACAAGTTATTCGGTTGACATCCCAGAATAAACATACAAGTAGAAAGCTGGCTGTGTTAAGGTCGCGACGCAAGGAAACAAGTATTGTAAGCATGGTTTGGGCATTGTATATCTAATACATCTATAACTGAGTTAAATAATACAATACTACAACAGAAAAATAATTAGGGACCTTTTACTTCGACTAAAAGTACATTAGACTCTTTGCAATATACATTCCTTGAAACAAATTCCTGTCGCAGTGTGTCCTACAGACACATACTTTAGGAACTATCGCTGATGGATATTCAAAAGGAACATAGTACAACGAGTTTTAAAAGGAGACATGTAATGAACTGAAAGACAAAATAGGAAATACGTTTAGGTTCGGAATGACGAAGTTCCTTTGTCACAACTTTACCATCAAATGTATGTACCAGTACATAAAGTGACTCGATAATTGACTTACGATAAATATAGGTAACA